AGATTAGTAGAATCAACACAAGGTTATTCAGGAGCGGAAATAGTTGCAGTCTGTCGGGAAGCGGCTTTGAAGGCTTTGGAAGAGAATTTCAACGCAGATAAGGTTTCGAAAAATCATTTTTTAAAAGCATTAGAAATTATATTGCCAAGAACTCCTAAAAATCTTTTACTCATGTATGAAAAATACTTGATGAAATAAAAATAAATTTTATAATTAATATTCAGAGTAATTTTTTTTTTTATAACCTTATTTTACCCAATATTAATTTTAAAAATATTAAAAAAAAGTTTTTTTTTTACGTATTTATTAAAAAAAAAAAAACTTATAATAAGGATTAGTGAATATTTGAAATCTTTATTTGTCAGTTATTTTCTGTAGCAAAAGGAAATAAACACAAAAGACAATGAGACTATAAAATTATTTTCAAAGGAAAATGTAAATTTCAATGGAATTTCCGGTTTAAGAATTTTTCGTTGACGTTCTGCGAGTCCGTAATATTTTAGGCCTATTTTGCTGTGATCGCTCAAGGGTAGGCAGGTGTAGAATGTTCAGGTTTGTTTCTAAAATTTTTTTTAAAAGCATTTTAACTTATTTATTTTAAAAAATTACTTGTTGTTTTTTTTTTAAAATTCAAATAATTATTTAAACAGTAATTAATATAAATTATTATTATATAAAAATTGGTACGTTGTAATGGGTAATGTTGCTTTCGATTTTATTTCGCCATTTTTTTTTGTTTGATGGGATGCTTGAATTGTAGTAAATGTGGTCGAGTATTATTATCAAAATTAATCCTCCTTGATTTAATCGAGTTTTTTAATTTACTTTTTAATCTTTAGAATTTTTATATTTGAAATTTTCATTTTAACGTGTTATTTTTGTACAGTTTCATTTTTTTTATATTATTTTTGACTGATTTTTATGACACATAGATGTCTTACTTCAACACATTATCATCAATTGCGATTAATTTTTAAATAGTAATTCTTTGTTTATATGTAAGTCCAACGTTACGCAAATTTATTATTTTCGTTTTAATATTTTAATTTTTTTTTATATTCATTACATTCAATATAAATCTATTCTTTAAATTGACTTTAGGTATTAATAAAGTAATTATTAATTATAATTAATTTGTAAGTTACGCGTAGCGTTACTTTTCGATAGCTGTGTCCTTGGTATGTTGTACGTACACGTTTATTAGGAAAATTTTTTTCTTTTTTTTTTTTTTACTTTTTAATATTAAATAGTAATGTACGACTCATTTGTTTCTAAAATGAATTTATTCAAATTAATTGTTTTGCCTTATTTTTTTTTGTAGCAGCCTGAATTTTTAAAGCTTTGTTATTTAAAAAGAATTAATCATGATGCCTAAAATGATTTTTTTTATATATAATATATATTGAGAAAATTTTAAATTTTCATACTAAATATTTTTTTATTATTTCCATAATTAAAAAATACAGGGTTAAACAAGTATGATATTTGCATAAATATGTTATTTTTTGTTGAATTTTTTTTAGTTTAGGGTTACCAATTTCATTTTAAAATTGTAGTTGAAAATTAAAAAAAAAGTTGTTGTATTACTTAAGTTTAAAAAAAATTTTTTTTAATTAATTTTTGTTTTTTTTTTTTTTTTTTAATTTTTATTAGCATTGAAAAGCAAATCAATGTAAAGTGTATTATGGAGTTATTGTCTACAATCAACAGAAATTATTGATAATTATTCTTCGAAACTAAGAAGAAAACAATTTATTATAACATATAAACTTTTTTTTAAAAAAAAAAAAAAAACATTTTAAGGAATTTTGGTGTTTTTTTTTTTTTTTTTTTTTTTTTTAAGACCATAATAAAATTCTTTTTTGAATTTTCAAATTGTTTTTTTTTTTTTTTGTTTGTGAATAATAATAATAATATATATCTGTGAAGACATTTTTTAAATTTAAAAAAAAAAAAAACAAAAAAGAAAGAAAGTTAAAAAAAACATTGGCGGAAGTAAATTAATTGACATTTTAACAAATTGTTTTATGGCTATTCATATACCTTGTGTTATCACAAATCATATTACCAAAATGATGACTGAAACACATATTTCCAATATTATGATGCCTGCTTTAAACAGTATTGCTTCTGGAAAAGTGTAAGTTTTTTTTTTTTTTTTTTTTCTTATTGTCAAGTTGTGTAAAATTTCAAAAGCATTAAAAATTATATTTTTGTATTTAGGGAAGTTGAAAAACCAGATGAAGGATGGAAGTCAAAATTAAAAAGACCTCCACCTGATAGAAGAGTTCAGACTAGTGTAAGTTACTTTAAGTTTTTGTTTTTTGATACCATTTAATTTTTTTTTTTTTTTTTAATGCATACCTGTATATTATATGTATGTGCTCGATATTTTTTAATAATCAATGCAATGATGAAAAAAGCCTGGGCCAATGAACCTAATGATTAAGTAGGCTTTTGGTGAGGTTATTTATTATCTGAGCAATTTTTTGTATTAAAAATTTAATTTTTGTCGTCAAAACTTAAAATACCTGTCGACTGTTGACTTAACTGTCGGAATAAATTTTTGTCTCAAGGATAATTCTATAATTATCATATTAAACTTTAATATACAGAATTTAGTAAATGAAGTTTGTAAAATTATTATTCTTACTCCAATTTAGTTTAAATTTTATATTTTTTTTTTTTTTTTACTTATCAATGATTTTTAATTATGAATTTTTTTTTTTTTTTCTCTCTCTCTCTATAAATAATAGGACGTAACTGACAGGAAAGGAAATGATTTTGAAGAATTTTGTTTAAAACGAGAGCTACTAATGGGGATTTTTGAAAAGGGTTGGGAAAAACCTTCTCCAATTCAAGAAGCTAGTATTCCAATAGCATTATCTGGAAAAGATATTCTTGCTAGGGCAAAAAATGGAACTGGAAAGACTGGGGCCTACACTATACCAGTTCTTGAATTGGTTGATCCGAAAAAAGATGTTATTCAAGGTATTAAATATTCATAAATTTTTTTTTTTGTAATAAAGATCATAATGAGGAAGAATGATGATAATGTAAATAGTCGGATTTCCCATCACTTTTATATATAAGTGACAAACATACCAACTGAAGTCTTCCTATTGCTAATCTCTCTTTTTTTGTTTTTTTTTTTTTTTTAATAAAAACTTTTTATATTTCAACTTTCCTTTTAGAAGAATGTTTAATGTCTTTTTATTTTTAGCTCTTATAATAGTACCAACTAGGGAATTGGCACTCCAGACTAGTCAAATCTGTATTGAACTGGCTAAACACATGGAAACAAAAGTGATGGTAACTACTGGCGGAACCAATTTAAGGGATGATATTATGCGAATTTACCAAAAAGGTAATAAAATAATAAAATGCTAATATTTTTTTTTAAAAAAACGAAGCATAATAAATGATGAATATTACTTAGGACACCTAAAGAGGAACCCTGATTAAAATTTAAATTTCTGATTGATTGAAAATGAAATTAGTAAATGCACAAGTTTTTTTTTTTTTTTTTAAACTTCTAATTGATTTCTATTTATTATTTTTTTTAGTACAAGTTGTTATAGCCACTCCGGGACGAATATTGGATCTTATGGAAAAAAATGTAGCTAATATGGATGAATGCAAAACGTTAGTTTTGGATGAAGCTGATAAATTATTATCACAGGATTTTCAAGGAATGTTGGATCATGTTATTTCACGTTTGCCGAAGGATAGACAAATTTTACTTTATTCAGCTACCTTTCCCGTAACAGTAAAAAATTTTATGGTAAAATAAGTTTTTTTTTTTTTTTTTTTTTTTTATTGAGTTTTAATACCGTATTGAACCGTGTGCATATTTATAATTTTTTTTTTTTTTTGTTTTTAATAAAAAGGAAAAGCATTTGCACGAACCTTACGAAGTGAATTTAATGGAAGAATTGACGCTTAAAGGTGTGACGCAATATTATGCCTTTGTTCAAGAAAGGCAAAAAGTCCATTGTTTAAATACGTTATTTTCAAAACTACAAATAAATCAGAGTATTATATTTTGTAATTCAACGCAAAGAGTGGAATTGCTTGCGAAAAAAATTACAGAACTTGGATATTGTTGTTATTATATTCACGCTAAAATGGCTCAAGCCCACAGGAATAGAGTATTTCACGATTTTAGAAACGGTCTTTGTAGAAATCTTGTTTGTTCTGGTAAATATGAAAAAAAAATTTTTTTTTATATTTCGTAATGATAATAAATCAAAAACGACGATGACATTAATTTTTTTTTTTTTTTTTTTAATTTCAGATTTATTTACAAGAGGTATAGATGTACAAGCAGTTAATGTAGTTATTAATTTTGATTTTCCTAAAATGGCAGAAACATATCTTCATCGCATAGGTAGATCTGGAAGATTTGGCCATCTTGGAATCGCAATAAATTTAATCACATACGAAGATAGACTCGCTCTTCATAGAATTGAACAAGAATTGGGAACTGAAATTAAGCCTATTCCGAAGGTATTTTTGAATTGCCTTTTTTTTTATATATATTTCATTTTAAATGTGTTTTTTTTTATTAATCCTTTTTTTTTGTTTACAGGTTATCGATCCTTCATTGTATGTCGCTAAATTAGAAGACACTCAAGGTATTGAGGAAGTAAATGTAAGTAAATAATTGAATATTTCCATAGCATCCACAGTATCTTCAAAAAAATCATTGCATTAATAATAAAAAAAAAAAAAAGGAAAAAAAGAAAAAAAAAAAAAACATACTAAAGCGACAATGTTGTTTCAAATCCAATCAATCAATCAATCATTCTTTTTTTTTTCTTTTTTTTTTTTTTTGGATTTGAAAAACAATTTTTTAAAAAAAAAAAAACCTACACTGTAGGTTTTTCGGTAATTTTTTTTTTTTAAACGTAACTTTTGTATATATTTTTTTTTTTTTTCTTTTTTTCTTTCCGGGGGTAATAATAATAAAAATATTCCCTGAATTATCAATTAATTAATTAATTAATTAATTAATTAATTTTACACGTTATTCAAACAAAAAAACGGTTTAAGCAAAAAAAAAAAATTATTGTTTAGACTAATAATCAACAGCAAACACAAAACAATCAGGTTCTCATAATGTTGTAGAACTAGCATTGTACAGTTTTTTTTTTTTTTGGAAAAGAATTTGGAATTTGATTAATTGAAATTTAAAATTTTTAAATTATTTTTTTGATTCTGATTGTTTGGAATCAAAATTTCAAAAAAAAACTAAACTAAACTAAACTAAACTAACGTGCAAAATGCATGTTTAAAGTTTGGGTTAAAATTTTTTTTTTTTTTTTTTGCTTTCACTTAATTCTTTATGTTTATGCTGCTGCTGTTGTTGTAAAAAAAAAAAAAAAAAAAAAAAATTTAATAATGGGAGAGGAAAACGTTTTCCTTTCTCAACTTTTTTTTTTTGTTTTTGTATTTTCCTCTTTTACATTCTACAAGTTCTCGAATGAATTTTTTAATGAAGTTTTGCCAACTTAAAAAAAAAAAAAAAAAAAAAAAAAAATTTTTAAATTTAATTAATGCCCCGTTAAATTTTTTTTTTTTTTTTTATATATTTATATTTAAATCGGAAAAATTTTTTAATTTTTTTGTTTGTTTTGCAAATAATGTTTTAATTATTTCGGCGATGAGTTTATTATTATAATTTTTAAACTTTTTTCCGTTATGATTGAAATTTATAAATTTGCATTGAAAAAAAAAAAAGAAATTTTATGAGAGAACTTGTAGAACAAAATAATTTTTTTTTTTTTTTTTTTTTTTGGCCAATATTTTTTTAAATCAATGTTTTTTTTTTTTTTTTTTTTTTTTTTTTCTCCCAAAAATTGAGAGTTTTTTAACACGCAGAATTTTAAAAAAAAAAAAAAAAAAAAAAATGAAAAAAATTTTTTTAACTCGAATTGCTTTAGCAATTTTATTATTATAATGGGGAAAAAGAGCCAAAGTATTATGTGTAATTTAAATCACGATTTTCATTCTCTTGTTTGATTGATTATATCGATCCGATTCAATTGTATAATAAAAAAAAAGAGGTACTTTTTTTTTTTTATTGTTATCATTAATATGCATTTCTTCTAGAGAAAAAAAAACAAAAAAGTATGAATCGGAAGAGGTGTGTGACATTTTATTATTATTTTCAAACGCGTTTAAAAAAAAAAAAAAAAAAAAAAAGTAAACGTTTTTTTTAATTGTTGCAAAAATAATAATAATGATAATAATAATTTTAAAAGAAAAATACGAAATCTTTTTTTTTTTTTTTTTTCTCACTAAATTATAATAAAAAAAAAATGTACTTCTTGTATAATTAATAGGAATTTTTGCGGTAAATGAAAAAAAAACTAATAATAATAATAATAATAATAATAATAATAAATAATGCTTCTGCTTCGGTAAAATTAATTTCTTCCGTACAAGCAGGTATGACTAATTCATAATTTCTGTTTTTAAAGCATTCAACTGCTTTGAGGTATCCTTTAGAGTTATCTCCATCAGTTTTAGACAAAAATGAGTTAATAGGATCATTTGCAAAGGTTGAGAAATAAGTTTTAATAAAAATTTCTGAAGGCATGACAGGTACTCTTTTTGCCATGGCTTCTTTGGCATGTTGCCGACCTAATTCTTTAAGAATTCTATCAGCTGATAGTAAAGTTGTTTGAGACTGAAAACTTTCTAATATGCAAGCAGCAGTCACATCTTCAAGAGCTTGTGTTAAGTCCTTTAAATGCTCACAAGCTTTAGCTCTTCTTGTAAGTGCTTTAGTATAAACAGGATTATATGATAAAGCTTTGGTGCATGCCTCTTTTACATCTTCATACTTTTGCAATTGCTCATAAGCTGCTGCTTTATTCTGGTAAAATGTAGCCAAACTAATGGTCTCTTTTTCAGGGCATATTTCAATAGCTTTTTCATAACTGGAAATAGCTTCTTCAAATTGTGAATTTTTAAAATGTTTGTTGCCTTCTTCTTTAAGTGCAGTTGCTAATTCCAGGGGTGTCTTTGCTATAGGTTCTCCAGCTCTTTTAGCAGACTTGTCGGTATCTATAACCGTGTCTCGTAATTTTCCTACAATCTTTCTATCTGATTCTTTGACTTTTCTTTTTTTATTTTTATTGTTTAAGTACCAGTAACCCACACCGACAGCAACTGGAAGCCCGACTGCCAATGCTAACTGCCATTTATTACCATATTTACCCACGGGACTTCCAGTATCAGCCATTTTCATTTTAAAACTCGAAAACATTTACCAATTACAAAAATGATTATTAGAAAAAAAATTGAAAAATTGATATTTTAAAAGAGCCTTTAATATTTTTTTGTCTCTGAAATTTTTGAAACCAAAAATTTTAGTTTTTGCTTAAAGCATTAGCGTTTCTTTTATTAATTTCACGATTAAAAACATTAATTTGAAAACATTTTAATGCAAACTTAAAGATATTGG